TATCAGTGCTGGTACTACTAGATCTCAGTGCTGCGTTTGACACTGTCGATCATAACATACTACTAGAGAGACTGGAAAACTGGTTCAGGCTTTCTGGGATGGTAATCAAATGGTTCAGGTCATACTTAGAAGGGAGAGGTTATTATGTGAGAATAGGAGAGCATGAGTCTAAGTGGACATCTATGACATGCAGAGTCCCACAAGGCTCAATTCTTGCACCACTCCTGTTTAGACTGTATATGCTCCCACTAAGTCAAAAAATAAGAAAGAACCAAATTGCCAGATCACAGCTATGCAGATGACACCCAGATTTACCTAGCCTTATCTCCAAATGACTACAGCCCCATTGACTCCCTATCAGTGCTGGTATTACTAGATCTTAGTGCTACGTTTGACACTGTTGATCATAACATACTTCTAGAGAGACTAGAAAACTGGGTCGGGCATTCTGGGATGGTAATCAAATGGTTCAGGTCATACTTAGAAGGGAGAGGTTATTATGTGAGTATAGGAGAGCATGAGTCTAAGTGGACGTCCATGACATGCGGAGTCCCACAAGGCTCAATCCTTCCACCGCTCTTGTTTAGCCTGTATATGCTCCCACTAAGTCAAATAATGAGAAAGAACCAAATTGCCTATCACAGCTATGCTGATGATAAAGTACTTTTACTCATTTATAAATCACTCAATGGCATAGGACCTAAATACATTGCAGATATGCTTACTGAATATAAACCTAACAGACTACTCAGATCATTAGGATCGAGTCAGTTAGAAATACCAAGGGTTCACACAAAACAAGGGGAGTCCGCTTTTAGCTAATATGCCGCCCGCAGTTGGAATCAGCTTCCAGAAGAGATCAGATGTACTAATATATTAGCCACATTTAAATGCAGACTCAAAACTCATCTGTTTAGCTGTGCATTTATTGACTGTGCTACTGTGCTACGTCCGAACTGATTGCACTGTATTTTATGTATAATCATTTTCTATTTTTAACTGTTTTAAATTCATTTTAAATCAATTTCTAAATAATTTTAAAAGTTTTTAAGTTCCCTGTTTTATTGTTGTGATTTTTTTATGATTATTTTACTTCCTTTTATGTAAAGCACTTTGAATTACCATTGTGTATGAAATGTGCTATATAAATAAACTTGCCTTGCCTATATTGTGTATTAATAATTATTATTAAAAAAAACTGGGTTGTAAGATATTTATTTTTAATATTTTGAGTCTCTTATGGTTAACAAGGCTGCATTCATTTGATCAAACATACAGTATAGACAGAATATTGTGAAATATTCTAACAATTTAAAATAACAGTTTTCTATTTTAATATATTTTAAAATGTAATTTATTCCTGTGATGGCAAAGCTGATTATTATCAGTTTTGAAAACAGATTTGTGCTACTTAATGCTTTTTATGGAAACTGTGATCCATTTCTTTTCAGTATTCTTTGATGAATGAAAGTTCAAAGAATAGCAGTTATTTGAAATAGAAATGTCTTATAAATGTCTTTTCTGTCACTTTTGATCAATGTAATACTTTTGTTGAATAAACCTATTAATATATATTTTTAAACTGACTGTGAATTTTTGAACTAATGTATACATTACAGAAAAAAGAACAATATAAGCAATAATAGGGTTTTCCTAATTATTGGGGAACTGAGACCACTACTATGTACACAAGTGAGAAATGAAAGTGTTATTAATAGTTCTGCTTCCTGCCGTTTTTTCTCCTTGGGGGAAATGTTCTTTTTATGTCAATCCACAAAATTAGTTTTTGTGCTCCTACAGAATCAACCCTCTGCCCAGTGTTGTATAACAACCTATATTTGTGTATGTTTACTTGCATGCAGTTTATCTGTATACAATTTCTGCTTGAACTTGTTTTCAGATGTATATTTACCTGCACAGTTCGTGTACTACTTTCCCCAACCTCTCTTTCTGGACACCTAATAACACTGAGAGCGATATCATCAGGGCTGTGAGTGAGGACGGGTTCATTACATGCTTGTCCTGCCTCGCCTGCTGCTGAGGAAGACGTGGAAAGGGGTGGCCCTTGAGAGGAAGCGGCACTGTCTTCTCCGGTGGGCGGGGTGTTCTGTGTGTTGTTTGCGTGTTTTTTCCTGCGAAGAGTTTCGATCCAACTGCTGCTGTGGCGAGAGGCGAACGTGGCGAGAGCCAGCGAGCTCAGGCGCATATTTTTTCCTGATGTGATCAGCTCGCCGAAGCCCTCCTGATGCGCAAACGCATAACCAGAGCGTCGAGATCGGCCTCGCCCCAAGCGACCAAGAGCACTGCCACTGGCTACTCCAGCACCGCCCACTCCACGACCCACACGCCCACCAGGCTTCCGCTTTTTCTGCAGCACAAGTTGAGTGTAGCGCACCTGCAGAAAGACAGTGAGAAAATAATAAAGGGTGGGGATGAGTGTGAGGGGATAACCAGAAACTAACAAATGTGTCAAACTTACTGATGTGAAACAAATATGACCTACGCTATGAATCAGAATATGCAATAATCAACCAACCATTACTATCCAACAATCAGAATCAAAATTTCAATGATCAATGCTTGGGACCATTTAAACATTTAAAATTTATTTAAAATAAATGAATATAAATAAAGGCTCTTATCTCATATATACAGTATAATATATATATATATATATATATATATATATATATAACATGCAAAGAAACACACTTAGAACATTTGCTCAATTCTTGTTTTGTCTAAGTTTTGACTAATATAAGTCCAAGTTTTCTTTAAGCCTCGTTTTTAATGTGTGATACTGAATGTTTGATTGAACATGGATAATAACAAATTCAAAGATGGCGTGCAATTTAGGACAAACAAACTAAGGTCACACACACACACACACACTTACGGTATCTGAGAGCTGAGGTTTAAGGTCCAGTTTAAGAAAGCGGAACGCAAGGACTGGAGCAATACAGATGATGGTAGCCAGAGCAATAGTTAACCACACCACTGGCTGCCCGAGTGTGTTTCGAGCACTTCCTGTGGTTAACAAACACATGGCATGCACACAAAAACAAAAATAAGCCACACATACTCATACCACTATGTAACACACATTTGGATCAAGATAAAATACAAATAAGATATAATTTAAAATTACACAATTTAAAATCCAAATTTTTGGTATATTTACTATTCCTTGTATTTTCATTATTTATGTTAAAAGTTGATGTATTAATTTTTTAGATGACCTAATTTTCTATTTTAATATATTTTAAAATGTAATTTATTCCTGTGTTCAATAGATTGTTTGAATAGATTGACCAGTTGTGCTGATAATTATTTATTTTTGTGGAAATCATGATTTTTTTCAGGATTTTTTGATGAAAGTTCAAACAGCATTTATTTGAAATATATCTTTTTTTTGTAATGCTGTAATGTCTTTGCTGAACAAAAGAACCAGATTTCTTCAAACAATGAAAAAAAACTTACTGACCACAAACTTTTCAATGGTAGTCTATACTTAAACAATATTCATTATTTTGTTTTTTAAAAACCTGAATATGGAGTAATGCTGTCTGCATTTCCAGATGTTATAGCTGATAAGTTGTGCTTGTGACAAATACTATAAAGGCATTATCAAATGTGGGTTTCTGTTTAAGATGGTAGCCACACAGTTGGGCCAAAGTGCTGACTCACCAAGGAAATGGAACTGCTTGGGGAAGATATTGAACAGAATGCTGGAGTGCATAGCGAAGAGGATAGTGAAGTAGGTACCCAAAGAGCCCCATATAAAGAAGTGATTTATAGCCGTCCAATAACCCATGTCCAGAGCAATCTATAAACAATTAGCAAAAAGCCTGGGCTATTCAAAACTGTTCTAAAATTCATTGCTACTAGTATACACAACCTTAAACGAAAAATAACAAAATAACCGCAAACCATATCTAAATCAACAAGCACTACTTAAATGCTAATGTTTAATATTGGACTCACTTGGACGCTGACAACGATGACAAGGGCCGTTGCTGTAGTTACTGCAAAAGTTTGATAGTCTGCCAGTGGGACTCCATTGCTCTGTGTGGCATGAGAGAGAACGCCATACGGAATGAAGAAGAGAACCACAGACGTGTAGATTCCCTGTGCGATGCAGATGAAGAACTCTCGCTTGTTAAATAGCAAGTTCAGCTGACCCGGCTCATACAACTTTGGATACTCCAGACTCCTCTGTTCAGGAACATCCTGAGATATACAAGGATTGAAGTAGGAGTATAAAAGGTAAACAAAAATGATTCCGTATTTGGTGTGTTTTCTTTATCTTACCTGATCGAAGATGCCCATGGCCAACACAGGCAGGGATGTGTATACGATATTGTAGAGAGTGATGAAGTACTGGTCGTAGACAGTCTAAATGAAAGAATCACAGTAAACTGAGCCAAGGTTATGACATCACCTCATGCATGTGACACCAGTACCTCAGTACTTGTTTATATTAAAAATTGTACAACATTCAGTATTTTTAAAACTACACTTAAAGTATGGCTTAAAGTATGGAAAATCAAATATGTGATCACTGACCAGATTTTTCAATATGGAGTGTGATATTGTACGTATTGTATTGTTTGTAACGGAGTATTGTAATTTTGTAACAACATCCTGCCCAGGGACTGCAGATGCAAATTAGCTCTATAGCTAACTCTGGCACAACACTTGTGTTGTGCATGGTCCCTGTAACTAAACTAAACTAAACTAAACTTTTTAGAGCCTCTGAATACATTTTCCACCTGCGCTGAGAATCCACAGAAGAACCCGAACCAGAAGTGCACCATAGTGAAGGCAAAGTTCTTGTAGAAGAAGTAACAGAGAAAACGGCACATGCGCAGATAGGACCAGCGTCCATGCACCAGCAGAAGTCGCTGCAGGAAGCGAAACTGGGAAAAGGAGTAATCTGATGCCAGCACAGCCTGAATCCCCTCCTGACCGCTGATGCCCACGCCAATGTGAGCTGCTGCAGAAGGAGAGAAACACATAATACATTATATATATACTGTATATATATATATATATATATATATATGTATATACAGTGTATATATATATATATATTGTACATATATATGCACACATACATACATATTCATTAAATCTGTAAAAAATGATTGCATTAAATATACTGAATACCTCAAGTTAACAAGTTAACTTTGACACCCCTAAAAATGCATTGCATTCATTTTTTCCCTCATGTTTCCACCCATTTCAGGTCCCCAGACAGTCCCTAGAGCCCAGTTTGAAAACCCCTGTTCTTGGGTATCAGCTGTCTCAGTGCTGGTCAAGTTCAATTGTAGGTTAAGACAGATAAACTAATATGTAAATAATCCTTAGACTAAAACCATAGATTTGGTATTTGCTACTCTACACTGCTCAAAACTCGCGTTTGAATCGTCAGTGGCAAATTCTTTAAATATAAAAACGTACTTACAGTCTGTGAGTCAGAACAGACGGCATTGTAGTCTACTCTACCAGGATCAGGAAACCGTCCTCCATAAAATGCGCTGCACACATCTGAATATTTGGGTTGAACTGTTCTGGAACAGTGTTGTAAATACAACTTAACCACTGATTTCTAGTCGTGTCCTCTTTTGGAAGGCCAAACAAAGTAGTTTCGCTTTCACAACGAAACACAGTGTCTCCACAACATGGCGGCAGCAACAATACTACAGCGAGAATAAAAGTTACGCCTTCTTTCTTTGCGTGAACATTTGGGCGGCGTTATGCAAACCTTCCCACATCGTGACGTAGACATGTGGGGGCGTGTTAGAACGAGCCGTTTTAGGTAGGCGTGGTTGACTCTTAACTTTTATAAAGAATATCTCTTTGGATTTGAGACTTTAGTCTTTGCAACTTTACAGATCTTCTTTATGCACCAAGAGCTTGTAACACTCCAAAGAGAAAGGAAAAATTGAAATCGCATCATATGACCCCTTTAAATCAGTGAAAATTATTTGTTCTTCACACTAGTTCCACTGTCAAATAACCTGCACACACCCACAGCATCAAACAAACAGAAGATGGAACATTGTTATTACATGGGCAAGAACGTGTGTGTGTGTGTAAATATATTGAATAGGGACAGCACAGGATGGCGTAAAGAGATTTAGACATAAACCACATCCTCCACATCTCGTTCTTATCCATGTTCACAGGAGCCTTTTGAAATATAGTTGTGACAGAGTGAGAGCCCACCGACACAGTTCTAAGATATTCTGCTCAGTTAAGGGAAATGAAGCAACCACATGTAACAACAACAAACTGAACGAACTGACTGAATATCAATAATCTGGTTTCTCTGGGGCACCTTTGCATAAGCTAAAAAAACTCAGAATTGTTTTTCTTGAGCTGTTTGCCTCAAAAAGCCTTACATTTCATCCTATCATAGTTTCAAGAGTTACCACAAGAAAAGATTATGGCTGAATATTGTACATACACCACACTTTACTTGTAATATGCATCATGTATGAGCCTAACTGAATGCCTTTAAAAATTACTATAAAATAAGCTGAATATACTCAAGTTCCAAATTATACTAATAATAATTACAGTAATATATACACTACAGTTCAAAAGTTTGGGGTCAGAAAGGATTTATTTTTTGAAAAAAAAAGAGAAAAAAAATGAATGGACGCATTAAATGCATCAAGGATTCAGCGGTGATGTATTAAACAAAAATACATTTACATTGTCACAAAAATTTTCTATTTCAAATAAGTGCTATTCTTTCGAACTTTCTATTTATCAAAGAATCTTGAAAAAAAATGTATCACAGTTTCCACAAAAATATTGAGCAGTATTCAGTATATTCAGCTTTGCCATCACAAGAATAAATTACATTTTAAAATTTATTAAAATAGAAAATAGTTATTTTAAAATGTAATATTTTCCATAATATTACTGCATTATAAAAATTAAGCATAAAAGGCTTCTTTCAAAAACATTAAAGAATCTTACCAACCCCAAACAATTGAATGGTAGTGTTTTTATATAATAGTTGTTGCACAATAATAATTATAGTATATTATATTATGTTATATTATTAAGATTCTGATGGCATGTTATTTATAGCTGTAACCAATCCTAGTAATTTGACTCAGAGAACCCCAATTTTTGCACATCAAAAACAAATTGGCTGTCAAAAAGAAAGATTTATTCTCGTGGCAAAGACAAGTGTTGAACATTGCTCTCGTTCTCTTACTCTTTATCATGCTGACGTCATTGGCTCCATCTCCGATGGCGAGTGTGACAGCTTTCTTGTGTCGTTTAACCAGCTCCACCACCAGAGCTTTCTGAAGAGGAGTCACTCTGCAGCAGATCACTGCTCGACAAGCACACGCCGTCTCCAAAAACTCACGCTCCATATCTGCTTCCAAAGCATGAGCCTGGTCAACAGAGAGAGGAAAATATTTCTTAATATCTCTGTTGAAAAAAACTTGCTTTTACCAGCCTATGCTGGTTTGCTGGTCTTGACTGGTCAGTAAGCTGTGGCCAGCTGCATAAACTGCTTAGACTAGTCTTAAAGGTTAGTCATCTTTTTTTTTTTTTCTGCAAGACTGGTCATAACTTTTTGAAATCAGTTATATAAAAATAAAGACTGGTCTAATTTGAATCCAAAAAGTAAGACCGATTACCACTTGGATAACTGCTAGTTAGTCAAACTAGTTCTTAAGAAACAGTCCTAACATAGTGACTACTGTAAGTTTATGCAACTGCCACCTGGATTTAGAGGGGTTTTGGGCACCAACAACCAGCAAAACACCAGCTTGGTCAGACCAGCTTGAACCAGCTAATATCAGGGTCTTCAACCAAATGAAATGAATACCATTAATTTCATATTTAAAAACGTCATCATTCAGATTCTTTCTGAACAAAATGAGTGTTGTTACTGTCACCTAAAACTTAAAGACATTAAAAATCTTTTTTTTTTTTTAATTGAAATAGAGCTGAAATAAAATCAAATATTAAATCTAAATATTATATGAAAAACTTAAACTTAAACATGGATCAGTGGAAGACTCAATAAAAGCGTGGCATGAGGTTATTTTTTAAAGTTGATTCCACTAGAACATCTTACTTGTGTAATACATTTGAAAACTGATCAGGTCTATAAGATCTGGACCCCCTATCAGGACTATTTGGAACCACATCTTAGTCATCCTATTAAATTCTAATATAACCTCATCCTATTATATTACAGGAAGTATTATAATCTAAATAATCTGGACATTTTTAATACTATTTGTTATTAAGTTTATTATTTGCTACTTTGCTGTTTTCCCTGAACAAACTCGAAATTGCTGCTTATTAATATTTAGTAAGGTAGTTGGTATGTTTAGGTATGGGGTAGGATTAAGGGATCTAAAATATAGTCATGCAGAATAAGCTATTAATATGTGCTTTAAGTACTAATAAACAACTAATATGCTAGTAATATGCATGCTAATAAGCAACTACTTAACTGAGAATTAGTCCCTAAACTAAGGTATTACCAATGACATAATTAATTATATAATAATAATAATTATTATTATATTTAATAAATAACATATGAAAATAATATATACCATATAAAAATATAAGAAAATAATATATAATATATAAAAAAATAATATATATGATTATATTACATTGTAAAAAAAAAAAAAAAAAAAACGAAAATTAGAAATGTTGCCTTGGCAACAAACTGAAATAAATAAGATGAAATACTAAAATTACTAAAATCAAAACTGAAATAAAAATAGATCTAAACAGAATTTAAAAAACAAATCAAAATGACAATGTCACCTGACCAAACCAGAAAACAGGGCTCATCGCACTGATTTGTCAGAGAAAGTGTTAACGGCAGTATGAACTGATAGCGATATTTAATATACTTTTAAAGAAAACAACTAACCAAGCTAGTTGTTTTTATTGTTGCCATTTTATTCAATCTTAATATTTGAATGTTAATGAGAATAAGAAAAATGTCAAACTTTTAGATCTTCAGTATCTCCTTTGAAGGCATCTTGATTAAATAGTAATTTAATTAATAATAATAATAAATACTAATTCATAATAATCCTAAAATAACACTGAACTAACTAAACATAACCCTTTAACTAAACCAAAGAGCATGAATAACATTAACATTCATAACTAATTCCTTCCAGTTACACTCTTAAAAATAAAGGTGCTTCAAAAGGTTCTTCAAGCGATGCCATAGAAGAACCATTTTTGGTTCCACAAAGAACCATTCAGTCAAAGGTTCTTTAAAGAACCATCTCTTTCTTACCTTTTTATAATCTGAAGAACCTTCTTTCGCCACAAAGAACCTTTTGTGAAACAGAAAGGTTCTTCAGATGTTAAAGGTTCTTTATGGAACCATTTAGACAAAAAGGTTCTTCTATGGCATCGTGAAGCACCTTTATTTTTAAGAGTGTAGGCTCCTGAATGCTTCTCCCACCTACCAAGCTGTGTCCGCTGATGATGAGGGCGAACTCTCCACTGATTGACTCCAATAAGGAGGAGGGCGGAGCCTGAGGAGGCGAACATTTACTCTCATCAGGGATCCAGTTAGCAGCACCACCACCTCCACATCCATTTCCAAAGGCACAAGCATCACCCCGTCCCTGAGCTTCAACTTCCTTCCCTCCATCTCTGGTGCGTGCCGACTCCACCATTCGCTCTCTTGCTTTCCTAAAAAAACATAAGAGGATGAGAAAACGAAAAGGCCTTTCCTGAAAGACTTATATCTCTCATACTTCATGGGTTGATGAATTTGATGAATGGAAACATCAGCATTGTACCTCAGCTCTTCACGTACGCTTTGGACAGTGTGTCCATTAACAATGAAGATCTCTGTCATGTTATCTGTCAGCATCTTACAGGAATAACCAATATTCACTGCAGTCTCTGTCACAGAAGGAGAAAAATACACGTTAAAGTTGTAGTTGTGTTAAGTCAATGATAACAGTTGTGGCTAAGCCACATGACTTTTGATTTTGATGCAGTTCTTACCCTGTTTGTCTCCAGTAAGCACCCAGATCTTGATGTTAGCCAGTGAGAGAATGGCAATTGTCTCAGGAACCCCCTCTTGCAATTTATCTTCTATAGCTGTGTCCCCCAACAGCTGTAACAAGTATTAAATATTTCATATTATTAACAAGAAGACTAAGGAGACAAAACAAAAGGAATCAGACACACAGACACACCATCATGTCCTGTTCGATCTCCTCATAGGCTGCAGCCAGCCGGTCGTCTCTGCAGTCTGTGGCCTTATCAGCGCCGCGGAAACGCTCCAGTAAGCACCCAGATCTTGATGTTAGCCAGCGAGAGAATGGCAATTGTCTCAGGAACCCCCTCTTGCAATTTATCTTCTATAGCTGTGGCCCCCAACAGCTGTAACAAGTATTAAATATTTCATATTATTAACAAGAAGACTAAGGAGACAAAACAAAAGGAATCAGACACACAGACACACCATCATGTCCTGTTCGATCTCCTCATAGGCTGCAGCCAGCCGGTCGTCTCTGCAGTCTGTGGCCTTATCAGCGCCGCGGAAACGCTCTGCCCACGCCTCCCACTGCTCCTCAGACAGATCCCGATAGGCCACTGCGAGCGTCCGCAAGCCATCACCTGCACACTCCTACACATATCCCAACATCAGCTCATGATAATATCACTTTTTAATTTAATTATTCATGTTTTGTTTTATTTTGTTTTGAGAACCATTACATATGATAGATAAACTATTATCAAACAAAAACTTAACTTAGCATGAAAAGCTGATAGTCTATGATGGTTACTCAAGGCTGCAACAGTAAAAACAGTAATATTGTGAAATATTATTACAGTTTAAAATAACTGCTTTCCATTTTGATATATTTTAAAACATAATTTTATTCCTGTGATGTAAAGCTGAATTTTCAGCAGCCATTACTTCTACAATCTTCACTGTCACATGATTCTTCAGAAATCACTCCAATATCCTGATTTGGTTCTCAAGAAACATATAGAAACATAAACTTATTATTTTCTTAAAAAACAAACAAAAAAAACAATCGTTTTGACCCCTTAATTCACTGCATTAAAAATATTATAAATAATAATATACTTGTAATTAATATTATGTTATAATATATTTATAATTAAAATAGTATTATACAGGCTTTCTGTGCCTGATTTTACAGCATTATTTTCTCTTTATTACACAAAGGGAAACCATTCAAACCTGTTATTTGAAAAATGATTAAATAGATATTTTTCTTCATACTACAAACGTTTTGGTCTCAAACCTTTTCCCTTCGTAGTTATATCTTCTCCCCTACATAGTGATATCTTAAATTAGGCTACCTTTGCAACCCTGTCACATGCAACCACATTTTATTTACATATATATATTTTTTTATTTTATTATTCTAAATGTTTGTTTAACTGCTACAAATAACTATATCACAACAAAAGTCCCATATAATGTTTAGTTATTAGGTAAAAGTACAACTAACAGGCTTTAATTACTAGAACATCCACAAGAGGGCTCTGTTGTTTGTCTTATAAAGACAGCAGCAGCAGACTGTGGGTTCTCTTAAAGAGTAATTTAGAACTTCATACAACAGCTAAGCAAGCTAACAGTAAAAACAAAATAAACAAATCCGAAAAAGCAAACACTCACGTTGAGATGGTCTGAAGTGATATTCATTAGTTCATGGTTGCAAGAGTGCAGCCTCTCGAAAAGCACAGTGTCTGCGCCCTTACAGTACAGACGAATACGGCCCTCTGGATTCCTCACTAAAACACACACACACACACACACACACACATTAAATTACAGATTGTGCTTGTGCCTCTGCAGTGATGGGAGAAGCTCCCATTATCTCATAGTCCTAACATTATTGGACTTCTTTGCATATAATGTATCTTAAATTATGCCTTTGTTTCTTACCCAAATGGCAAAAACTAACAAGGTTTTATAAATCATAAAACAAATGATCTTAGTTTTAAGATATTTTGGATATTGTTATGGGGAAAAATTATTAACAAAACTGATAAAGAGAAAATTCTGCAGTGCACTCAATAACTCTCTCTCACTTCTCTATGTAAACATAAACCAGCTGGACATAAATGACAATATGCAAACAAAAATGAAATGGCTGCTGCAATGTAAGCACCACTTACCCGAACATAAGGGCCATAATTCAGCATTATGAGAGTGTATATGACACACACAACACTTTCTGTATTGAATTTAGCGCTAATCTTCCACTTATTTATGATGCTTGGCAGGGCAGTATTTATGCTGTATCCAGATTTCTCAGTCCTAAGGGAATTTTACCGGCTCTTTCTCTTTCGCACAGTGCTAAACCATCTGGCATTACAGCCAAAATAATGTTTAAAAACTATACACTCTGGAGTTTGCCACTGTTCACTGCACAAAAAATGTGTGTGTGTATGTACTTAGCTATAGTTTGGGCTCAAAAGTGAATAAATCTGACAAAACTTTACTTTAAAAAAAAAAAGATTTAATGTGGAGGTGTTCTCATTTTTGTGACATATTGCATATTGTGCTTTTTTACAAATATAGTCAAATGTTTTTTGTTATGTCAGTTGCAGGAATGAGAGTGTGTGCTTGTGTTACCTATGACAGACATTCTTTTGCGGATATTATTGAAGTCCAGGATGGCGAGGAGCGTGTATGTGACTGCTTTGCCGAGCTCTTGTGTGGTGACTGTGCCGGGTGTGCGAGAGCGGAACACAAAGCCAAAGTTACGTGCAGCTGTTACTAACGCCCCCTCATCTGGAGACTGAGCCTTATACACCAGCTCTCCTTCAGGAAGTGAAAGACAAGAGAGGCAATAAGCAAGGAGCACAACATGAAGGAGGACAGATAATGAGATAAAATAATCATATTACAATCCAGAATTACTGTATCATTTCCTTCTAACGATATTAAAGTCAACAGCTTCCTTAAGTAAACTTTATTTAAACTCTTCCATTGGATGAAATAGCTCTCTGAGTAAGGCAGATAATCGATAAACCTCAAAGACTGTTTGTTCCAGATCCTTACCCTCGCTCTTCTCCTCGCTCATGACCGTGTGGCAGAGAGACAAGACCCGGAAGAATTCATGCACTGCTGGTTCTCCCGCCATCACTGCCTCTAGCAGAGACTGGTCGTAGAAACAGAAGTGCCAGTCTGCTAAAGGGTTCCAAGCACTGAAGTCCAGGGGCTGGACCCTCTGAGAATGACAGATTATATTAGCTCTTTCTGAGCAACAGTAATGAAATGGCTAATAAAAATGACAACAACTTCTTTAATTCCACAAAGTGAATCTTGGATGCACTGACCTTCTGCTGAGCTCCCAGAATGTCCATCACCTCACCTGTGAAATGAGAGACAGACTTAAAATGAGATCTGTTACAAACCTAATACAATACAACATATTTATCAGTGTATGGTGTCTATACTGTTTGTCGTAAATCTGCAACTCTGCTAAAGCATTTGCATAGCTTTATAAAAATAATTTTTATTATTTCATTTACTATCATTTATTTTTAGTATTTCTATCAATTGTCTATATATATAGACTGCATTGTGTGATGGACATCGGTCATGATCATCTTCGGTGTCTCCTTTTAAAATAGACACCAAATTGTTGAAAAATCTGCTAAACCATCTTGGCATTTTTTTCTTGATTATTTCATTAATTATTATCATTTATTGTTTTACTGTTATTCATTTTGTATTTTTATTTTTAATAACTAAATTATTTTTATTATTATTAATATTATTATTGTCTATTTACTTTTTGATTGTTTATTTAAATCTCTATCACTAAATAAATAAATAAGTAGAAATTAAACAGCTTATTTAATTTTTGTTTGAACATTTTTTGAAGATTAAGCTTTCATTGACTGCTTGTTCAAAAACAAACTATTAAAAAAAAATTTCCAACAACAAAATGTACTATTATTATTATTATTATTAATATTAACATTATTGTTATCTAATTACTTTTTAATGTTTGTAGAGAGTAGAAAGAACAAATAAAACATTTAATTTTAAGCGTATTTAATTATTGTTTGACCTCTTAACGATCAACATTTTTTTGAAGGTTAAGCTTTTAATTTGTTCAAAGATAATAATAACAATAAAAAAAGATTTGAACTTTTTAAGGCTATATTTTGTACCATATACATGCAAAGTGCCAGTTGATGAATTTTATATTATAAACTGATGCGTTTTATCTGTTAAAGGGGACATCAGACGAAATTTTCACTTTTTTAGCTTTTTTGCCTTTAGTTAGAATTCTGGCATCTCTGCCAGCTCAGAAAAGCTGAAAAGAAAACACGCAACCAGTTTGTTTTGCACTGTCTGAGTCTGAAACTGTGTCCAGTGAGCTGTTTCAATTTGCAGCCGGTTTCTATGTAGATAGCCAGCTATTTGAATAAGCCCACCCTAGAGCCAAATACAGAGTCCAAGGCAGCAATTTACATGTCTCGTGTCAACACGCCCCACGGAAGAGAGGGGTGGGGTGAGCAGTAGCTCATTATCATTTAAAGAGACATGCACTGAAACAAGTCGCTGTGAACAGAGCTGTTTTTGACAAAGTAATGTGGGTGTTGTTTTACATGACCATTTGGGAATTTTAACCAAAGTATGTTTCAGACATTTCATGAAGACCCTAAAGAATCATACCAACTTGTAGAAAATGGGTATCCGATGTCCCCTTTAATTTGTTAATTTAATGTCTATTATTTAATTGATTGGTAAGCAGCTGTGTAATAAGCAAGGTAATATACAGTCAGCTGGTCATTACAATATAAATTTACAATATAATGCACATCACCATGATACAAGACTCATACATATATGATAATGGCCAGCTGCTCGCACATTATACCTTGAATATAACTGCCATGTGCTGTTTCTCACCATATGCGTGACCGTTGATGGAGCACTTGTTGAAGGTCATGATGTTCTGGGTGAGTGTTCCTGTCTTGTCACTGAAGATGTACTCCACCTGTCCCAGCTCTTCATTTAGTGTGGTGGTCCGGGCCTCTGCTGCTGTGTTACTACGGCTACAGAACATCCGCCGGTCCCAATTAATGAAATAACTGTGACCCAGGCGAATCACCTCCACACTAAAGAGATTCAGACAGATGGAAAGAGAAACAGACGGAGGGTTATCAAAACGCAAATATGACCTGCTTTTCAGTAGAAACACTTAAATTGACTGCAGACCTCTGACCACAAGGCAAACACAACAAAACAGACACACAAAAATACACAGTTTTCCTGTTATAAAGACATAGGTTATTTAGGATGCAGCTGAAACAGACAATGGCATAACAGTCCACCAGACCATTAAATGCAAGATGTAATACTGTTCATTTATAGAGACTTCACGAATCTGTCATTTAAGACTGTCATTAAAATCGGAGTTTGGGTATGTGTGTGCTGTGCCATGGTACAGTTCTTCCTGTATGAGTCTGTACCAGTCAGAGGGGGGTTATATTCACTGGACCACACAGCAGAGTTAGAGCTCATTCAGAGAGCTGGTTCAGAAAGGTTCGGTCAGGATTTTAGTGGTGTTATATGGACTATGTTATATGGGAGGTTGTTGTTATGTCAGAGAGAGAAAAAAGGGGAGTCTATGGGGTCTATCTCTTACCTGTTAGGAAAAGTCTGAAGAAACATGAAAACAACAAAATACATCAAAATAAAATAAAAAGCACAATATCAAGCATAAAATGAACTTAAGCTAGTACTTAAAAGCATCTAAATCAAAGAAGAGAAGTAGATTTTAACTGGAATTTTTAATGAATATGATACACTTTGGTGTCTCAAGACTTTTTAAGAAATGGAGCATTAGATAAACTATTATCTAAAAAAAAAAAAAAACCTAACATCAAAAGTAGCTAGTCCTAAACATATCAAATGTTTATATCCCCCCTTAAAATTCTGATTTTGGCCAGTCACAGAGGTCTTGACCTTCTAGTATCCAGCAAATAAAAACAGTATCCAGGAACTAAAATTATACAATGTTTGTTATTTTAGTATTATTTATTATTATTATTATTATTATACTATTATAGGTTTTATTAACGTTTTGAGTTAGCTTTTATTTTATTTGCTTTTTTTATGTTACTTATTTTATTAGTTTCATTTTGTGCAATTTCGTTGCTGTTTTTTTTTTTTTTTAATTATTCAGATTTAATTTACTGCATTTATTTTAGTTTTAGTTTGGTTTTAGTTTTGATTTTTTCCAGTTAGGAATTTTAATGCTTCAACTTAACCTTATTTCATTTAGCTGATAAGGCAACATTTCAAATGTACGCCTAGTTTCAGTTTTCCATCTAATATTAATATTTTTTTCTTTATTTCAGTTAACAAAATATTTTTAATAGTTTAAGTTATTGATAATAACCCTAACAGAACAAAAACATAATTTTAAGATAAACAGTTAAACTATTCGAATAATTGCTTAGTGTTGTTTATCCCTAGAAATGAAAAAAAAAAAAACAGCAAAAATATCCTAAATTGGATAACATAGTTGACAAGCTTCATATAAAATAAATAGGAAATAAAACAGCTTATATAAATTTTACATTTATGTTCAAAACATGATTTTTTTAATGTTTAGCGTTTCAGACCATTTTCTATATTTTTTTTATTATGATATTCATGGTCAGTGCCAACTGAACAGTTTTCATGGGATAATTAATCTTTCTTCCTGCGTTACAACGTTTATCTCTCCTCATCTTGCTCTCTCTCACCTGACATAGAGGGAGATGGGCACGACTGTGTTGAGGATGATGACATAGGACCAGAAAGACAGGAAGGCCAAGAACAAGAAGTTGTCCACTGGTGGGTCCCAGGGAAGGAAGCTCTGGAACAGAGCACCCACTTCTTTTTCCCAAACTGCATTTCCTATGGCCAGGATCACTCCCATACACACCAGGAACCCAAAAATCTGAGGAGGGGAAAATTACAAAACTAATTTGGACTAATTTAAGATCTTGAATTGTATACCTATTTATTTACAGTCAAACATTACTTTGCAGAGTTTATGCTGTTTATTTATTTCAGTACCTAAATCTTCAAAATTCAGCAGAGGTTTGTAAATGAGTGTGTTTGTAAACAGTTTCTCACCCACAGCACCAGTGTATTCATCAGTCTGTCTATACTGGTCCGCTTGAACTTGGTCCGTCCGCTGTTCTGCATCAGTTTGGTGTCAGGACCTGAGGTGCACCATCATAATTATGACAGGTTAAACTGAAAACTAATCACACAAACACACACACACACACACACACACACACACACACACACACACACACACACACACCAACCTGCGAAAATAACAAGGCCATAGCAGCTCTCTGTGTTGCGCAGTACACAGCCGCGAAGCAGCATGTTCTGGTTGCTGAGGAGGTATTTACAGTCTTTCCAATACAGAGTCCCGCAGAAACGGTCAAGCTTGTTGTTGGGAGGCTCACATACCACTTCTCCTGCACATACACAGCGCGAGAGATACAGGAGGAAAAAGGAGGTCACACATATTGAAAACATCAAAACAGTACCATTTTATGTAATATGTGTTATGACCAACTGTTCAGCATCCTGGGTCTCGGTACAACTTGTGAGCTTTGGAATTTTTTGTTGTTCTTTAAAAACAGGAAGCGTGGGTGGTCTGTGCTGACACAGGTTTGATGGTGTGTCTGTATGTGTGTGTGGCAGTATATTGTGTTGGGTGTTAAAGTAATGTTGCTGAGAAACTGTCCACCACATATATTACTTTCCGCACACTTTGACTGTATCTTTGGTTCTCTCTCTCTTTAGTAAACTAACTCATAGTAGGGTCAAACAGTTGTTGCACTTTTGCATTTTTAGTGCATCTATTCACTAGCCCATCATTTAATTTATTCTGACATTATTCTGCGCTGGTATAGCACTCTACATTTACATGTACATTTAGTTATTTAGCAGACGCTTTTATCCAAAGCGACTTACAAATGAGGACAATAAAAGCAGTCAAAACTAACAAAAGAGCAACAATATATAAGTGCAAATTACAAGTCTCGGTTAGCCTAACGCAGTACACGTAGCAAGGTGTGTATATATATATATATATATATATATATATTATACACACATATACACACACACACAAAGAAAAACAAGTAGATAGAACAGAAAAAATAGAAAGCTAGTGTTTTTTTGTTTTTTTTGTTTTAAATAAAAAAAGAAGATAAATATAGATAAAGTAGAATTAAAATATAATAGTTAGAGGGTCAAATAAAGGTGGAACAGATGTGTTTTTAGTCGTTTCTTGAAGATGGTTAAGGACTCAGCTGCTCGGATTGATTTGGGCAGGTCATTCCACCAGGAGGGAACAGTTAAGAAAAAGTCCCTGAAAGTGATTTTGTGCCTTTGAGATGGCACAATAATATGCCACTCACTTGCAGAACGCAAGCTTCTAGAGGGAACATAACTCTGAAGTAATGACTTTAGGTAAATGGGTGCAGAGCCAGTGGTGGTTTTGTAGGCAAACATTAATGCCTTGAATTTAATGCGAGCAGCTACTGG